CCCCCACCCCTCACCCCCCGTGCCTTGAGGCTGCCTGCCCCGAGGCACCCCCGTGACCTAGTGGTACGTACATCAGAAATGGTACCTGCCTATTGGAATGTCTTCATATCTTTAATTTATTTTTGTTTAATACTAAGATATGAATACAATATTATGGTCTGCATTTATTTTTGTTTAGAGGAGTGTTGTTGGGGTTATGCTAATGATGGTAATTATGGTGTTAATTATTTGTGATCCAATTGAGGTGGAGAGTGCAATTGGGATTGACATAAATCCATGCACAGTTCCTGCATGCAAAGAAACAGTGAAGGCCAAATACCAAAGTGCAACATGTGCAGTGGGAAACGGGGCTTAAAGGAAAATATTGCATCTGCTTGGAATGATACCGGTATAAAAAACATTGTCGTATAATATAAAACAAAGTTATCTTAAACATGACATAATATTTTGTATGCACTTGTTTTGCACTAGTAATTTGACGATGCATACAAACTCATATCATCATTTGTGACCCATAAAAACTGGGATCATGATCGAGTTATTGGTAGTTAATTGGCGATGAGTACGAACAAAAGGTACCTTACGTTTTGTGGAAAATCCAAGTTTTCTTAGTTTAGAGTCAATTCCTTTTTTGGAGAAAAATTCTGAGTCGATAAGCAAGACAAATCGAGTCAACTTGGAAATTAGCTCTCGATGCCGTAGACCTAAAATGATTGGAATGTACAGATATCCAGAGGACCCGAGCAAGGAATTATCCTCATATCAACCAAATTTTGTCAATAATATTTTCTTTCTATATAGCCCTAGCTCTACATTTTATGAAAACATACTGAACATTTGAAAAGTAAAATATTAGCCCCAAAAACATGTATTTAACCTCTTCAAGAACGCATATCAGTAAGGCACAATTGACCAAATTATGAAGGATAACAAAATGGACAATGTACCAACTTTGGAGATTATATATTTTAAAAGTCAGACGAAAAGTAAATCAACTGAAAACGAAGTGAACACACCTTCTTCACAGCCAATCTTTGCAATTTGGGAACATCCTCAATTAATCTAGCCTTTATTCTTCGAATATTCGCACTGATCCTCACAGAAGATGCTCTATTTTTTTCTTTCAAAGCTGTGTCGGCTTTCTACTACCCCAAATGCCTTCAAATGTTCAAATTTAGGAGTAGGAAATAAATCTCTAGATATTTTAGGCTTCTGTGACAAAAAAAGAAGTAAATAGAAGAGCAGTGAGAATTGAAGTGACCTGAAGAGCAGCTTCAATGTCGAAATTGATGGCGGTGCAAAGACAAGCGAAAGCATCATCGCCAGAAAGTTTGTAATTGATGTCGATATCGTACTTCTTGGAAATGGAATTTTTGCTCTGCTTAGATTTAAGATTCTGTTTAATGGGAAGATGATGAGACGTTGCCGTGCTATATACGCTGGAACAGACTGGCTGGAATAACGGATGGAAAAAACGGTCAATAAAATGTCATCCTAATTCAAAATTATCTTTCTTTTGTCGATGTTTTGGTTCAAACAACCCCTAATAATTTAGTCTAAAAATATTTTTTTTCTATCTTTAGATTAAACATGTTTTTTCCTAATAAACATAATGTTTTTTTATATATAAATATTCTTTTTTCTGATAAAAATATTATAACTCATCATTAATTTTAATATAAAAGATCAAAGTAATCAATCATTATTTTTTATTTGAATAACGATAAATTCATTTTCCTAATAAAATAAGAATTTTTTTTATTTCTCAATATTTTCGAATCGAAGAAGGAAACACATTTGCTAGTATGATCATTGGTTTTAAAGTTCAACAATAATACCATAAAAACATAAAATTTATTACATTGCTTCAAATCACAAAATAGCATTGAAAGAGTTATTGTTGATCATTTCTTTTATTAACTTTAAAATCAAGGAATGATCAACAATAATACACATGAATGTATTAAGTGTGTCCTGCTTAAGAAAAATACATCTTCTTAAAAATAAAAAAAAGATCGTTAAACAGTTGTGACTTACGTTTGCTTAGCATTTTTGCTTATTGTTCATCATTAAACCATCTAGTAACTTTTCTCCACAATTATTTATAAGTTCTTAATTATATTCCTAATCCTCCCACAAAGAAAGGAGTTCAGGAGAAAGCCTTTTTGAAGAAACTCATCCTTTCGAAAAAAAGGTCACGAAAAAGCCATAACTTATCAAAATATCACAACCCTTGAATTTGAAATATGTTTGTTTTTAATATAGTATAATATAAATAAATAAAATTTAAAAATATAGAAGATATACTAAATTTAGTGTTTTAAAAAGGAGAAGAATATATAACTTTTAATAAAATCCATTGTTTAAAAATGTGGAGAAACTCCTTTATTTGTAGTCAACACAGGGTAGTATGAACATGTGCCAACAAAGGGTATTATGAACATGTGCTTATTGTGCCTTATCAGAAAAATCACAACCCCTGAAGAAAGTCACAATCATTCGGAAATGTCATAACTTATTTGAAAAATCATAACCCTTCAGAAAAATCACAATCCTTTGAATATGTCATAACTCGTTGGAAAAGTAACAACTCTTTGGAAAAGTCACAAATCTTCTGAGAAGTCACGACTCTTCAATGCGAAAAGTGTCTGATTTTAATATAATATAAATAATAAGTAAATATATAAATATAATTTAGAATATAGAAGATATAAAGGGAGAAAAGAAATTTAAAAAAAGATTGATAACACAATCCTAATAATTTAGACTTTAGACCTAAGAGAACTCAGTAAATGAGGCCTTTCCAAAAGTGATCAAGGTAGGTTAACTTTAGATGCCTTCCCTACAACCTTATGTATGAAAAAGTTAACAATATATAAATGGACATCTCCGAGACTAACTCATGTTGTACAACAGAAATGCTAAATGAATCCAGGGAAACAATAACAAAGAAACATCAGTTATCTGTTGTTGGATTACTTCCTTGATTTGGATGAAGCCTTTGATTGCACTGCATTCTGAGAGGCTCCTTTTAGATTAGCTGGCTGGTTTGACTTCGTATCACAACTGCTCGCTGCCTCTTTAGCCACTGCACCTTGAGAACCTCTAATTTGAGCTGCTCTCTTATCCTTTCTCTTTGGTCTGTAACTAGACCTCTCCCTCTTGGGAAGCCACCTCTCTGGATTAGGTGGAGGTCCTGGATTAGCCGGGTCAAAGCCCTTTGGATATTTTGGCTTTCTCTTCCTCTTTTTCTTCGCCTTATCCTTACTCTTCCCTTCGTATGTTTCAGTGGCACCAGCATTTGGACCTTTCTCGGCTTGCTTGGCACTAGAAGTTTTCTCCAAACTGTCGACGTCTATTGCTTTCAAACCAGGTAGTGGTTTTAACTGCTTCTCATAAGCTTCTGCTTTCTCAATGTCAGCATGGGCTGCAGTCTGGATTAATCCAACTAAAGCCTCAGTACTTCCATGGCTTTTCACTAGCTGTTCATAAAGGCGTGCTGCCTCCTCTTTCCTTCTATGCCTGAGCTTGAAAGCAGCAGTCTCCTGCATGATGGTATTGAGCTTATTGTCTTCAGTCACGGCATTTGACCACCACTTGATTGCGGAATCAAACATAGCATCGGCACCATCAGAATCTCCAGCCCGTTCCTTGAGAGAGACAATAGTGGCAACAGTTGCAGGCTTGTGTTAAATGTCAGGTATTTTCTCCAAGGAATCGGCTGCAATCTGTGGATGGCCAGCAGCTGAAGCAACCTGAGCCCTTGCAAGCAGGATAACCTTGGACCTGTCAGGAAACTTATCTGCATACTGTCCAAGTATTTCTTCAACTTTAGCAGCCTTGTCCTCTCTCATATGTACAGCAGCTTGAAGAAGTACAGGCATCAAGCTACCAGGGAACATCCCAGGTAGAGCGCCAACAAGTTCTCTAGCCTGTAACAATCCGATGACAAAAATAAACATTGGAAAAAGACTCGGGGAATAAACAGTAGCAGTTGGATGTCTATTAATGGGTCCCCTTGTTTCTAATGCATCAAATGTTCAAAGGAGAACCATTGCAAACAGATGTAAATCTTACAGATAATATACCTGATCCATCTTATTAGAATGAAGTAGCAGCAGCACCCTATTCGTATATATTGCTTCCCTTTGCTTCTGTGAGAGCTTCAAGTCCAGTCCACGAGCAAGCTGGAACTTCTCTGGTCCATCACTTTTCTCTATTAGCTTATCAAGTTTCCTTAGGCCATCAGAGACATCTTTAGAACCCTTTAAAGCAATGAGATTATTTACTGCCACCTCAAGTGAAGACTCGTCGTCGGCCAAATTTCTTTTGACAAAATCAGTATAAGATGCAACAGCCTCTTGGGTGTTCCCTAGAATCTGGAGAGAGAAAAAAAACAACTTGCATCATTGCAACTTATCAAAGCAACAGAAAACTACTCAAACTCGTGTCATAAGATAATTTACCTGTTGTACATATGCAATTTGAACAGCTATAGGTGCCAATTCAATTTCAACATCATCAGCAGCTAAATTCTCTTCCATTAGTGTTTTCTGACCAATTCTGTAATTCCATTGTCCACAATAAGATATTCATCTTACCACATTTGATTTGACAGAGAATTGCAAAGAAGTGGAAGATTTTACCACATTTGATTTGACACTTCTAAAAGTGCATAAAGTTTAAAAAGACAAAGGAGAGAAAATATCATTATACGATAGTTCCAAATGAATACACCAGAATGCAGTTTGTCCCTTGTGACATCTCCCTATGATCTCTGGCATCAAATAACAAACTGCATACAATTGTCTACAAGATATAAAAGAGGAAATCATCCTACAAAACGCAACTTATAATTTACAGCCTTATATAAACATGCCCCCTATTTAATAACACCCCCTCCCCCCAAACCAAATCAAAGAGAAAACATTAAGGCTTAAAAAGAAAAAGGCAAGTAACATTTATAACCAATCAAATACACAAAAGCATTATTTGCATGATCCTGCAAATTGGAATGGCTAAAAAAAAACTTTCTTTCTTGTATAAAGAACCGTAAACTCCATTTTACATACAACAAATCAAAAGATATAGCAGCTTTGCAGATATTTTAACCCCCAACATACAAGCACTTTTGACTATAATGGCACATCTTTTCAATTAGACTAGTTCTAAATTGTCAGTCTATCATTACTAAAGGGTTAACAAACCAACAACAAGTTAAACCCAAATAAGAAAATAAAAGATGCTTAAGATTCTCCTTAAGTTCGTAGAGACAAGAATATATCAATTGCTAACTAAGTACATCTTGATGCCAACTTAAACCCTCCAAAATAACTTCCAAGCGAGGAAATATCTGATACTTTTTTACTAGTCATAGATTATGCATCATCAAGTGTTATGAAAATGGATAAAAGTCATACAAATAAAGCAAGTCAGGACTAAGTGAATCTAATTTTTCATGATGTTATGAAGAGCTTATTAGAGTCAAACTTGCCTTCGAGCTGACAATAACAGTTGTTCTGCATCTTTGTATTTCTCCCTTTCAATTAAAGATCAGGCAGTATTATAAGCCAATTCAAAACTGCTAGTTGCTTTAACTCTCAGTAAATCCAAGGTTCCCTGCACTTCAGAAGACCTTCCAATCAGAAACCAGACCAGCAACAAGATTTATCTCCAAGGAATCTATAGTAGATTTCGGGAGCGCTTTTGATAAATATCGACAGATGCACTCATCTTTCCTAAATGATACAAAATCTGAGATTCCAACAACATTGACTCAGTACTTCCTTCTTGCCCATTCAAGGACTCTAAAGCCTCCTCCAATTTATTTTTCCGATATATGCAATATCCCTTTTCAAAGAAAGCATGGCAATGAAAAAGGGGAAATTAATGAGAGAAACAAAATCCAGAATTGAAGAGAAAGCAATTGCAGAAGAAGTATGTTGGAGAATAAAATCAAGATGCCTATGGTTGAAGGAGGCTAATAAGAACACAAATTATTTTCAGAGAATGGCTAACTCACACAAAAGAGGTAAAGAGACAGAATCATGGAGACCCTACCAGAAACTGTACAAAGAGACAGAATCATGGAGACCCTCAACTGCACTTTGCTGCCCCTAAGTCCTGCCCAGGGGTGTTCACAAGACGGTTTGGATCGGTTATTTTTCAAAATGGATGGGGTCTACGGGCCGTAGAAAGGTCGACGACTCGTAGAAGTATCTCATGGGAAGTAGATTTATGATTCCTCTTTAAAGGCATTTCAATATGTTTTAGCTTGGTCATACATAACATGTTTTCCTTCATGTCCCATTATGTTCATGATTCATGTTTTTATGCATATCCCTTATACTTTGTACATTACCTGTACTAATGCATACATGTGCTTATATTGCTTAATAATGTAGGGTTCAATGCTTCCTTTTCTCCCGCTCGTGGCTAGATTCGGATTGCTACCTATTGCTTTGGATTGGTGAGTCCTCATA